AGTAGTCATTTTCTGTTCCCGTTCGAGTTTGAATGACCTTTGTTGAAAAGGGGGATCTGCACAAGGTACCAGAGAAGGCCCTGCTATAGCTATGTACAGCACAGCTGCTAAAATCTGTTCTCTTTCTCTCTACTGGAAATCTCTGCTGATGTCACTTGGGTGTTCCTCTTTCACACTGGCACCTTTTCACAATGTCACCCTGTGTTTGCCTGATATATCCAAATCCATCTCACAAGCTGCTTGGTTCACAGGCTTCCACCATATTGCAGAACTTCTGTGTTACTGTTGTGTTGTTTTCCACTTTGTTTTACTGACCTCTGCCATGTTTCTGTTATTCCAGTTCTCATGATCAGACTGTTGCTTTCTATATCGTATCCTCCAAACTTTTTGTTATCTAATTGTATCATCACTTTCATAATTCTTGTGATGTGTCATTAATTAAAGCACTAAGCATAATTAGTCCCAAGGCAGTATCCAAAATACAGAAGATATAATCCCCATTCCTTAATGTATGCAAGATAAGTAAAAATGAAGGTTATTCAGCCAAACATTTTGGATGATACATTAAGATATTTCTGTCTATTCAGATTCAGTAACTGTTCTTCTGGACTGTATTCATGTAGGTATCTAGGAAATATTGGGTAATAAATAACAAATGACTTCTGTTTTGACAACAGTGCTAAGGGCCTTCAATCAAGGGTTGGGCCCTGTTTGATTGAGTGTCGTAGAAACAAGCCTTGGATAGATACTTTGGCAAAATAAGCAAACAATAGAAGTTTTGTATGTGGAGCAGTATAAAATGAAGTATATGGATGACGATGGAAGGAGTAAACACATGTTAAAATCATTGACTAACTAGAGGGAGACTGTGACTCCAGATCAAATGAAGAAAGAATCAACAAGATCTTGAAAATAACCTGTGGCTGAGAAGAAAATTAGAACCACTTTTTCCACCTTTTTATCAATTCCTAGAGAGTTTTCATAGGATGGTTTGTGTTGGAAGAGACTTTAAAGATCACCTAGTTCCAAACCCCCTGCCATGGGCAGGGACACCTTCCACTATACCACATTGCTCAAAGCCTCATCCAACCTGGCCTTGAACACTTCCAGGGATGGGGCATCCACAGCTTCTCTGCGCAACCTGCACCAATACCTCACAAACCTCAGAGTGAAGAATTTCTTTCTTATATCTAATCTAAATCTCCCCTCTTTCAGTTTAAAGCCATTGCCCCTGTCCTATCACTACACACTCTTGTCAAAAGTCCCTCTCCAGCTTTCTTGTAGATCCCCTTTAGGTACTGGAAGACTGCTAAAAGGTCTTCCCGGAGCCTTCTGTTCTCCAGGCTGAACAAGCCCAACTCTCTCGGCCTGTCTTCGCAGGCGAGGTGCTCCAGCCCTCGGATCATCTTCATGGCCCTGTTCTGTTGTGATGTGAAGTTTGTATAGAACTTTGTTTCTAGTGACTACAGGACCTCCTTGTCGCAGGCAGCACACAGTAATACTCTTTTTTTAGAAAGCCAGCCCCTGTAAGCTTTTGAAATTGAAAAGTCCCTGTTACTCCCAGCTCTGAGCCCCGACAGTGGCCTGGGCACTATAAAAGACTGTTGACCTTTCCTAGAGCAGAGAGCATCTGAACTCCACAAATCTGAGAGTGCTGTTGATTATTCAAAGTGACTGGTATAAATATCAATGAATCGGAGACAGGAAGCACTGCTTTCACTTCTTGCGATGATGGCACAAAAAAGTCTCTTTCTTTCTTCAGAGATTCCCTTAACTTTCTGCCTGTGCCATTTCTGCTTAGATTTTTCACTTGGAGTTTTCTGAGTTACAAAATCAACCTCTGCAATGTAGAACTGGCTAGAAGAAAAATAAGATTTGCTTAGAGTGTTTACAACATAAAAAATGTCCTGAACAGACGGATGCAGGAAGCCTTAACGCACTTAGGGGAGATCAGTGGTTTGTCAAAACAAAAACGAATGAAACAAAAAAAACCACACACACAAAAAAAAGAAAAAAAAAAAAAACACAAAAAAAAACCACAAAACCCCACAAACCATGACCCCAAAGAAGTGTAAAATTCTCAGCAAACCAAACATGGGGAAAAAGTAATAAAAAAATTTCTAAAATTAAAAAGCCCACACACGTTAGTAGAGGCTTTTATAACTGTGTTAGAAGCAAATGTCATAAATCTATCAGTCTTCCGTGTGAAAGAGCTAGTGAAAGAGATGCAATAGCAGGAAGGGTCCTGCTTTCTCCTAGCAGGATGCCAACAGTTGTCTTAGACACCTCTGTGAAGTACTGCAGCGTTTTAAAATGTACAAAGAACAAATAGATTGCCTTAGATTTGTGTCATTCCTTAGGAATTCCTTACTGATTGCATCATTTTTTGTAGAATGAGTGTTTTCCTACTAATATTTCATATTATTTACTCAAATATTTTTTTTAATTCATTCAGGTTCCAAAATCCCTATCTTTTTTTTAAAAAAAAAAGTTTATGTGCCTGTTTATAAAGAGGGTATAAGGAGAAGACATTCTGCTTAGGTTTTAAACTAACATGCCAAGTCTGAAGGTGAGCCATGTATCACTTAGGTACCCCTCTGTGTTTCTGCAGAGTTGATGTGTTGTTCAAGCGCCATCTCCAGCCATAAGCAAGAGACTTAACATTATTCTGCAGATAAATGTTGTCTGTACATCTGCTGAGAAATAGGTAAAGGCCAGAACTGGTAGATTTGAGGTTTTGGTTCCAGTTAGGAAGCAAAGGAAAATATGCAGTGAAGGACTAGGATAATTCGTATTGGTTTCTGGGAAATCTTAGAGGAGTTTTGGTTTGGGTTTTTTTTTAGATTTTGTTGGTTTTAGTGGTTTGTTTTCTGTTTGTTTGTTTGGATTTTTTTCCCCAAAAAGGCTTAGTACAGAGAGTAAACATAAGCTGACAGCTGGTAAACTGGAGGTCACTTTTCTTGCATGGGTGATGGTTTGAAGGATGTTGCTGTGTGATAGGCATGGCCGCTTCTTTTCCCTGTGGTCTGTACTATAATGCTTGATAGAGCAAAGTCAGGCAAGGACCACAAACAATTTGAAACGTTCTGTGCTGCAGAATTTTAATGAAGTCATACGGGAAGGAGATCTACAAAATGGACACTGACAAGACATGACATCTAACCATCATTCTGAGAGAGTTAACAAATCAGAGGGTATTATGTCTTCTTTCTCTAGATCACTTGTTTGAGCTCAGCCCACAGCTATAGTGACCAAATGCCACCATCCTTTTGATGATCTGTGTGAATTGAGTCTAATTTTCTCTCCATCCGTTTTTTGAAAGCAAAGCTTGTTGCCCCAGTGCTGCTGCCCAATGCAGGAGTCTTCATACCGTCCCAGCCTGAGACACGAGTGAAAAACTGACTATTGGGAAAATCTCCATCTAAAAAGCTGCGACCTCAAAGGCATGAGAGTACAGAATGCAACCTAATTGCCTATGCAAGAGTGGTTCCTTCACCTAGTGCTAAATAGTTTATGTTCTTAGAAAAATATAACAGCAGGCAAACAGCTAGTATTTGCCCACCTGGAAAATCTGAGCTACTCTTTTTTCCATACAGAATAGGGCAGATGTGACATAACGTGTTTCCCTTCCCGTCAACAGGTTTATATCTGCAAAATTTGGTTGTTTCCTTTGGTCTTGGAAAGAACAGTTTGATCCTTAGCAAGTGTGGAAAATAGTCTGGCATATTTGGGAAAAAAAGTATTACCAACATTGAAAGAACTCACATGTTTAATTAGTATAAAATGTACAAATCTGCACAGAGAAAAAAAAGGAAGATTTTTTTTTTTTAGTTGATTAGAGAATCTTGTCTCAAAAATTAGCAACGCTTTGATTTTACTAAGCTTAGGTGCACGCAGCCAAACCACCTATATATGTTCCATCTCCTTGCTTCTTTTTTTTTTTTCATAGTTTCATGCCTGATACCTACCAGTCACAATCATTTTCCTGCAGGAAAAAGAGGCTGATCCTGAGAGTTATCTGATTTTTGGATTGGAAGTACTGTTCACTTGCTCTGGAAATGCTGACTCACTTGACAGCTCAAAAAAAAATCCAGAACTAGAAAGGCGCTCTAACACCTTTATGTGAGAACATCTGCTAGGCTGATAGAAATTAGCCTTCATTGCAGTTCTTTATTTATTTATCTTGATGATACTGTACAGCACTGTTTATGTTGTTCTTCAGAGCATGGTCTGCTGTGTAGCTCTGTAGGATGGAGTTAGCAGTCTGCCCATGCGGAAAGCCAGCCTGATGGGCAGAATTCCAGAAATGTTTGGTGGATAATTCAGGGGTTGCGTAGAATTTCGGTACTTTCTGATCATCGACCCTTAGGTCGATAAGGATTTGAGGGACAGATGTACAGAGAGAAATAAAAGAACTTGCGGTCCAAGGAGTGGGGCCTGGGAGGGAAGAAGTCACAGGGAATCTGTAAGCGTGTAATCAGGACAACCCTCTGGAAAACAAAGATTTGTGGTCCATATGCATTTTGCAACACTGAATCACAAGGTTAAAATGCGTAACATCGTTAGGATTATTATAATCTGAGAATAAAGCTCCTTTACTGGGTCATTCCATGACTTTTCTGGCACAGGAATATAGCGGAATGTGATGAATGGAGATTTCCACTGCCTCATTCAGCCCATATCCTAGTGTGTTTAGACATCCTCTTGAAGCATGTGGTGTTGAATTGGATCCCGTTCCATAGAGGAAGACGAAGAAGCTGTGTCTAGGAAGCTCCTGAGGAAGTCACCTGCCTGCTAGATCTTTATACACTACTGGTGCAATATTCATATTGTTTTGGTTTGGTTTTTTGCTGGGTTTTTTTGAAAGAAAAGTGTTATATAGTCTATAACACTTTCAACACAAGCTAGCAACGCTTTATTTCACTCTTGCAACATATCACTTGAGCTTCAGGAAAGTCCTACTGTCCAATCTGAAACATTTTTCCTTTGTTTTCTTGCAGGCTCTGATACTTCACCAACTCGGACGCTATAGCTTGGCGGAGAAGATTCTCAGAGATGCCGTCCAGGTGAACTCCACGGCCCATGAGGTCTGGAACGGCCTGGGAGAGGTGCTGCAGGCTCAAGGCAATGATGATGCCGCAACCGAATGCTTCCTGACGGCGCTGGAGCTTGAAGCCAGCAGTCCCATCGTCCCTTTCACCATCATTCCCAGAGTCCTTTGAGAGGGCATTTTGATCAACCGATTTTGGTCTGACTTCTGGGTGAGGAAACCCAGTGTATCAGGTTGTCTGGTAACTGGTTAGTTTGAAAAACTTTAGAGCTACAGGTTACAAACTCCAGTCTTTTGCAGGAAAGTGGCCAAAACAGTGACGTGATGCAATATGTTAATGTTAGACTGAGAGAACAAAATGGCTAGCCAGAACCAAATCACTCGTATCGCCTACGTTTTTGCCCTGGTAGTTTTAAAACATTGTTATATTGTTCAAGAATGATGTGCCATATTTTGTTAGTGATACTTGAGTGTTACATAAAATTATAATGGAATCAACTACCAAACATAGAATAATATATTCAAGTTAAAATTCAGTGGCAGAGCAGACTATTTTTAACAAAGCTGTTAATAAAACTGTTCTCTTCTTGCCTCTCAACCTCTTTTGGCCCAAAGTCAAAATGTGAATTTTCTGTTTCCATCTCTCTTTTAGTCCAGGTCAGAACAACAGTTGAGTTTTTGGTTTTAGTTCTTAATAACTGTGATGTGTGGCTAACTGTTATCTCTATTTAGAACAAAGGCTGAGTACAAGAATATTTGTATTTTACCAATGTATGCCTGTTACAAAAAATATATTAGTTATTTAAGTTTAACTTTTTTATGTGAATTCAGAGTTTATTTATCAATGGAAATATGTAAAAAGAAGCCTCAAATGGAATATTTACCGACATTCCTTATACATGACCCACACTTGGCTAAATGAGAAGATTATGTTAATAATAAAACAGTTTTTAAATGGAACCTTTTCTGTGTCCTGGTTAAGAGCCCAGGGGGAAATAGATGGCTTGTCAACACATTTAAATGATGTGGGGCCTGTGGCTGGCTGGCCTCAAAGATGAACAACATCAAAATTAAATGCCCTGAGGCCAGTCTAGAGGAAAGAAGCTACTATACTCTTTGGCAATGGTGGTGTTATCTCAGATTTCAGGTTTCCTTAAATCTTCATTACTTCTCCTTTTTTATTCCTTCCACTCCAGCTCTCAATGAATCCAGATTACTCTGCCTCTGCATAATACATGGACATTCACGTATACCTTGGCAGTGCTTGGGAAGAACATGTTAAATATTTACACACTATTCTTCAGAATTCTTTACCTGTCATCTTAGTTCTTTCTCAACATCTCCTGCACTTTGCATCTCTTGAAGGAGAAGTTGGCTTGTGATGTATTGCTGCCATATTGGTAGTAATAGAGCCAAATGTTCTGTAGGCAAATACTTGCCAGAGTTTCTCTGACATAAATGGAAGAGAGTTATTCATCGCAGGGAATATTAAGGGGATGTGAGCTGGGGTAGTCTGGTATCTGCTCATTTACGACTTTGGGCTTGTATGTAGCCTGGGAAGATTTTGATGTTCCCTGTTAGTGCTGGGTGCTACTTGATATTTGCCTGATTTGTCACAAGAGTCATAGAATCATAGAATGGTTTGGTTGGAAGAGACCTTAAACATCATCTAGTTCCAAACCCCCTGCCATGGGCAGGGACACCTTCCACTACACCAGGTTGCTCAAAGCCTCATCCAACCTGGCCTTGAACACTTCCAGGGATGAGGCATCTACAACTCCTCTGGGCAACCTTTTCCAGTGCTTCACAAACCTCAGAGGGAAGAATTTCTTCCTTATATCTAATCAAAATCTTCCTCTTTCAGTTTAAATCCGTTGCCCTTTGTCCTAGCACTACACACTCTTGTAAAAAGTCCCTCTCCAGCTTTCTTGGAGGCCCCCCTTAGGTACTGGAAGTCTGCTAGAAGGTCTCCTCAGAGCTGCACAACCCCAGCTGCACAACCCCAACTCTCTCAGCCTGTCTTCATAGGAGAGGTGCTCCAGCCCTTGGATGATCTTTGTGGCCCTCCTCTGGACCTGCTCCAACAGCTCCATGTCCTTCTTATGTTGGAGACCCCAGAGGTGAACACAATACGTGAGATGAGGTATGACAAGAGCAGAGTGGAGAGGCAGAATAAATAACCTCCTTCCCTCGACCTACTGGCCACACTTCTGATGTACGCCAGGATATGGTTGGCTTTCTGGGCTGCAAGTGCACATTGCTGGTTCATGCTGAGCTTCTCATCAGCCAGCTCTGCCAAGTCCTTCTCCCCAGGGCTGCTCTCAATCCATTCTCCACTCAGCTTGCATTTGTGCTTGAGATTGCCCCAACCCATGTGCAGGACCTTGCACTTGGCCTTGTTGAACTTCATTAGGTTTTCATGGGTCCATCTCTTCAAGTCTGTCAAGGTCCCTCTGGATTACATCCCTTCCCTCCAGCATGTCGACCACACCACACAGTTTGGTGTCATCTGCTAACTTGCTGAGGGTGCATTCAGTCCTACTGTCCATGTCTCTGACAAAGATTTTAAACAGCACTGGCCCCAATACCAGCCCCTGAGGAACGCCACTTGTCACTGGTCTCCACTTGGATATTGAGCCATTGACCACAACTCTGAGTGCAGCCATCCATCCAATTCCTTATCCACTGAATGGTCCAGCCATCAAATCCATGTCTCTCCAGTTTGGAGACAAGGATGTTGTGCTTTGGACAAGTCCAGGTAGATGACATCAGTTGCTCTTCTCTTATCCACCAATGCTATAACCTTGTTGTAGAAGGCCACCAAATTACTCAGGCACAATTTGCCCTTAGTGAAGCCATGTTGGCTGTCACCAATTGCCCCCTTATTTTCCATGTGCCTTAGCATAGTTTCCAGCAGGATCTGCTCCATGATCTTGCTGGGCACAGAGGTGAGATGACTGGCCTGTAGCTCCCTGGGTCTTCCTTTTTTTCCTTTTTTAAAAATTGGGACTATGTTTCCTCTTTTCCAGTCGGTGGAAACATCACTGGACTGCCACGACTTCTCAAGTGTGATGGATAGTGGTTTAGCAACTTTATCCACCAGTTCCCTCAGGACCAACGGATGCATCTCATCAGGTCCCATGGACTTGTGCACCTTCAGCTTCCTTAGATGGTCTCAAACCTGATCTTCTCCTACAGCGGGCGGTTCTTCATTCACCCAGTCCCTGCCTTTGCTTTCTGCAACTCGGGCTGTGAAGTTAGAATTCTTGCCAGTGAAGACTGAGGCAAACAAGTCATTGAGTACCTCAGCCTTCTTCATATCCTGGCTAACTAGGTCTCCTGTTTCCTTCCAGAGAGGGCCCACATTTTCCCTAGTCCTCCTTTATCACCGACATGCCCATTGATGTTTTAATTTGTGCCTTTGATGTCCCTGGCCAGATTTAATTCTATTAGGGCTTTAGCTTTCCTAACCCGGATCCCTGGTTGCTCAGACAATTTCTCAGCATTCCTCTCAGGCTACCTGTCCTTGCTTCCACCCTCGGTAGGCTTCCTTTCTGTGTTTGAGTTGGTCCAGGAGCTCCTTGTCCATCCATGCAGGCCTCCTGGTGTTTTTGCCCAACTTCCTCTTTGTTGGGATGCACTGCTCCTGAGCTTGGAGGAGGTGATCCTTGAATATTAACCAGCTTTCTTGGGCCCCTCTTCCCTCCAGGGCTTCATCCCATGGTATTCTAACAAGCAGATTCCTGAAGAGGCCAAAATCTGCTCTCCTGCAGACCAGCTTGCTGTGCTCCCTCTTTGCTGCCCTAAGGATCTTGAACCAGTGTTGTATAAAGGTCCAGCAGGCAGATAACTTCCTCAAGAGCTTCCTAAACACAATGTGAGCAAAAGATAAATTCTGCTATTACAGAGTTTTCCTGTTCTCCACTTTCATCTGAAGGTCTCTTGAGAAAGACCACCAGTCTCAGATCTAGCTGCAAACTGCCTCATTAGAAAAGCCTTGTCAGTATAATAAAAGGTCAATAAATATTGTGAAGGAGCACACCTGTGAAAGGTATTACAAATTCAAGTAACTAAACTGGGATAGCAGAAAGGCTCGGGAGGAACTGAATTAAACAAATAAAGGTTTTGCAGGATCTTTTGGTGCACCAGGTATCATAGAGTGGGTGCTAAAAGACAGCAGGGCCAGAGCATGTATTGTGAGCTGGGACTAGAAAAAAGAGAACAGTTGGCAAATAGAAAAGAGAAAAAAGCTGCCAAGGAAGAAAGTAGGAAGAAAACTTGCGAAATAGGCACTTTAAAAGGAGAAGGCAAACTTTGATGTTTTTGCAGTGAGCAAGATGACACAATTTCTACTGGCTTTTAAATAGATTTGAAAACACTATCTCTTACAGCCTTTTGGTCCGTTTTACAGAGAACAAATGATCTAAGCACTCAGCAGATACAATTTGAAAGTAGCCTGAGCCAAAAAGGCACGTGAAATGCCAGTGGGGAAAAAAGAGAGGCAAGAATGAAGAGTTCCCCCAAGTTTAAGTCTTCTGCCATTTGGAGATCCTCACTGGAGTGCGCAGAGCCTGTGTCACAGCGAGGATCCTCCGTCCATTTGAGGTTAAGTGCACCACTTTCTGGTAAGGAACAAAGGAAAACATTTGCCGTTATTTTTTCTGCATCATCTGCTATCTTCTGCTAAACACTTTAGAACTGCTTCTTGTTTAATTTAAAGTCTTGGCCTCTTTTGATAAACTCCCAAAGTGGAATGGTTAGCACTCTCTCATCTTTTATTAGTGGAGAAGTTGTCACTGCTGTTGTGTATATCAGGTGAACCTGAATATCTGTTTCATTTTTCTTACGCTGGAATCAGTTTCACTGTAAATCCACAAGCTTCTACCTCATGGGAATAGCCTCGGTTACCTATTTTTAAAAATGGATTATCACTGTAAGACTGTACATTCAGGAATTTTCAGGGAGAAGTGGAAATACTTGCAGCATATGAATTAAACAGCAACACCTGCTTAAACATAGTTTCCAACTTAGAAAAAAGTTACTAGATTTTACAGCTGTAGTTTTTTTGTTGTTGTTGAGTAAGAAGGCCGAGAATATTTTTATATCTGTTTTAGTTGATATACAGAAAGATCTGCCTCGCGCAATCTGCTCTCAGACCGCTCTGGTATCTCAGTCACAGGAGCGAAGCAAGCGATGCCAGTGTGAACAGCCGGTGCCGGGGAAGTATTCCCCTTGGTGCCAGTGGGTCAGTGTCATCTGCATCAGGGTTGCTCTTGAACTTTGTGGCTGACCAAATCTCCACATGGATACACAGATCTATGTGTGCTCTTGCTCCCTCAGCCTGTGTCAGAAATAAGAGCTGTTCAGATGGATGGTGAGATAAACCAGCTGAAAACTAAGCCAACTCCTTGCTCCCTTGCCCCAGGGTTTTACTAAGCGTTGAGTAGAAGCCTAGTAAAGGTTTCAGGTAGTTCTTTCGTCTGATTTACTTCGCCTCCATACAGCAGCCTATGCTTGCACTAGCTTAAAATGGTTATTAAATTACATTGTCGAATACACTTCTCATCCATAAGACTGGAATAGCAGGTTTCAGAGGAGACTTCCCTTACTCTGCAGTGTGCTTGTGCTACTCGAAACAATACATGTTTGGCATGTTAAGCATGTGCTAGAGTGTAACAACAATCTCTGCTGCACGTGATAAAAGGTGTGACTCCGCAGTGCTTACAATAAGAAAACTTATCGTTCAAGTAGTTAAAGTTCATCTCTAATTTTGGTGCAGATAACCATTTTTACTCCAGGAATCATTATGGGTTTTTTGTGGGTTTTTTTTTTGCTTTTGTGATTGATAGAAAACCCCAGGAACAAGAGAACTCATCCATGCAGAACTAATCCAACTGTATCTTTGAAAACTTTTGTCATTAATTGTATGCATTTTAAACATCAAAGGCTATTTTTAAAAA